TGAGGGTCATTAGTCTTCCTATACCACTAGCACCACCAGTCACCAGAACGATTTCCCCGGTGATGCTTTTCATTTTATATTTCAACGGAATCAAGAATTTGAACATATTCTGGATGCCAAATATTACAGTCCAGAAGAGGAAAATGATGAAAGCCCCGGCAGCGATGAAGAACGACACTATTCGTTTTGGGACAGAAGGTACTGTTGGAGCAATTGATCTTGGTACAACTGAAACTCTTTGGATTCGGGTTAGGGAATCTTTAAAATCTTTGAAAGCAACGATACTATCTTCATCTGACACGATTATACAAATTAATTTGCCAGCACAAACATTTTTTGTTCCTGCAGGTACTATTATCTTTGCTAAATATCCTTCATCCGGTGTTTCAAAGCTTATTATTGCCTCATCGGTTTCAATTTTAGCAAGTAAGTCACCTTTATCTAATTTATCGCCTGAAGAAATTTGCAAAATTGTTGAGAATTATTGATGGAATTTGTAGGGGGGACACGGAATAAATTATCCGTATTACCTTCCTTTTTGAGCCAACTGACAATGGTACCTGTTTCCGTGGTAGGTGATAACGCAGGAAATTGTACTTTTACATGGGTTGGATAATCTGCATAAAATCTTTGCTGTTGCTTCCATGGAATTATCGAAATATATAAGGTATTTTGTATCTGAATTCTAAGTATACGATCAAAAATTATAATTATGATAAAATCTTTAAAATCAAAGAACAGAATTCAATCTTATCCTTAATGTAAATACCAATCTATGATACATATTTTGAATGAAAGAAAGGAATTGATCATAGATGTAATAGAATTAAAAATTAAACAATAAAACTTCTATATAATGATATAAGCAGTATTCAAGATAATGTAAATCTTATTTAGAAAACTTAATTTCACGAGTAAATTTCATGATAATAAAAAATGAAATACCTTTGTAAATATTTTCTGTGAAGCCATTGCACGACTACCGATTTTATAGTGTTCATGTTTATTGAAGTTCGTTTATTATATATTCATTAAACAAATATATTCATTGTTATTCGTATCATGTTTCTATTATTAGAGAATCTTTTATTGTCGGTTTTAATAGAAAATCATTTGATTTGATTAGCTCGAGTTTTTGTTTAGATATTTCCAATACCTTCCAAGAGTGTCAATGACGTATGGATTGTTGTAAAATATCTCTAAAAAACAATATTAAATTAAAGATCGTTTACAAGGTCACATTCAAATTTAAAGATTAAACTTCTTCAAAAGTAGGAATTTTTATTGCAGAAATCATTTATTGCGAATTACGAAATGAGGAGAAAGAAGAAGAAAATGAAAATAAATAGAAATCGTTTTTTGTTTTCAACGAGTGAAAATTTATATCAAGGTTTTCTATCTTATAACAAATTATATTATTGATGAGATAAAAGGGATACTGTGATTCGTTAAATCGTTCCTCACGAAACAATAATATATTTTCTAAAATAAATATTCACATCATTTATATTGTTTGATGTAATAAGAATTTTTCGATTCACCGTTATTGTTGCACTCTCTCAATGTTGTAAATGTTAGTCATTCGATAAAATTCGTTTACCTTGTCCGAATTTTCAATAGTGGCATTGATGCATGGATCGATAGTGGTCGCTGCTATCGCTGGTTATCGATGACTCACAACAATCTCGATCTCGATATGATACGTTTGAATCGATTTTGCTATAGTAACAGTGACATTACTTAACTATGAAATTATGAATTTTATGAAACTTTTCAAATACCGAAATCTTTTTACAAATATCAGATACAAACCGACATATATTATCTATAATAGTTATAATATCTAGCCCATAACAAATAATCAGTGCAAATTTCTTGATTTCTTAGTGCGATACAATCGATCGATAGACAAACTAGTTTTCTTTCCAACCGTCTATGCATTGGAAAATACCACACTGACAAGTTACCTTTATTCGATTAATCTATCTACCTATAAAGAGAAAATTAAAAACAATGATACGATATAAAATTTGAGTGTTTAACGAATCATCTTATCGCATATAGAACATTCATAAAAATTTTCCTTTATATCCTTCGTCGCAGAAGTATTTTTATATATATATGAAAATAATTTTATTTCTTTTTCGTTCAATCTGAAAAGCGAATTGGAAATTTTATCATTATAAATTTTATCACAGTTTACGTGACTTCATCGTTTCTTTTTCTTTCTTTTTTTTTTTTGTTCAATTTTTATTTATTAATCATTATTCAATGCATTACACCGAAGTCAAAAGAATCAACGCTTTTGTTTGAAATTCAAAGCAATTTCAAAAATATTTTTCTTCTCCATTCAATTTTTTATTCCGTTTACTTTTTATGTACATTCAATGGATTCATAACAAGCATGGAAAATAAAGTTGGCAAATTTTAATCAATAAAAAAACAATAAAACTTATAATTAAATTGTATACATCTTTAGGAAATATTTTCTTACATTTACATTTAAATAGATAATGGAAATAAAATTTAGAAATATCAAGTTGTTCGCTCTAACTCATGATTCCAATATTTGTGTAATCTGAGACATGTTTGATTCTATTTATCATTATATTTCATTGATAAATGAAAAAAAAAAAAATGTAAAAGTTCCTTCCATGAAGTCAGTTTGCCTTATCAATTGCTCATATAATTCTAGAAATTAATTTATATTTATGTAGATATTGAAAAATTTTTTTGTACATTCTTCATTCTACAGAAATAATCCTTGTTTTATTTTATCTCGTTGTATTCAATCAATTATTTTTGACGATATTGGAATATTCAAAATTACTTGACACGAATATTTTGAGATTTTTAAAATTATTTTGAAATTTAACATTTACAAATAATGTTGAATAATATAAAATATAATTTTATTATAATATTCGTTTCACAAACAATCAGTTTATCAGATATATGGCACTATATTTTAAAAATGTATAACAATGTATACATGATGAAATTGTCGACTCAAGAAGTTTTATCTTGAAATAATATGTTAAACGAGATAATATCTACAAATAATAAACTTTATTTTTTTCTATTTAAAATTATTTTGTTAATTTTCTATTGAAAATTATTTTGTAATAATTCGTAAGTTTTATCAAAACCACTTGATAAACATGCATGTTTGTTTCTTTGCAATCAAATTACCACTTACAAATAATAGATAATATTAACTATTCTTACTATGCTCCACTATTACAATCGCATATACCCATCATATATATATATAAATAATATATATATATATATATATATATATATATATATATATATATATAT